ATGTAACGACTAGCTTTATGCTTAATCATACGTAGGGCACGCTTCCCTTTGCCGGTGCCATCATTGCCATTGCCATTGCCATTGCCATTGATGTCACTCCTGCAATTGTTGTCACTGCCATTACCGTTGTCGTTGTCGAACACTAGATCCATACCAGTGAAGACGGCAAATCGGTCACTAACAACCATCTCGTTGAAGTCCTTGTCGAATACCTTGACATCAAAGAAATCAGCGACCACAAACCTGCCGGAACCAAGGCTGATGAAGATGAACCCGCCCTTGGGGTCGGGCAAATAGCTCGTCCGGTACATCGTCGTTGGCCCAAATCCGTATCATATCTGGCAATGGCTCCACGCCTTTGATAACGCGAGAGAGGTCAACGGCGCAGGCGAGGCCACGTGAGATGCCGAACCAGAGCCCGAGCTCCGAGACATACTCCACCTTGCGATCGAACGACATGAGCCAGTCGCCGAGTCCCGAGTGCTTGTAGGCGTCGGAGGGACGGAGATGGCCAGAGGCGAGTGCTTGTAGGCGTTGAGGCTTGGCATCACGGTGACCACGGGACTGGGGCGGGCATCATCGGCGTCCAAGCGGAAGATGACCTTGTTCTCCGAGGCGGTTAGGAAGAATTGAATGTCACAAGTTGCGGGCACCGCCAAGTCGATCTTGCAGTCACTTGTTCTGTTCGGCGGGAGTTATTGTCGGCACCACCTTGGCATGTGCAGCCGTACGTTTCTTCTTCCGTCCGATAAAACAGGTCCAGCTTGGCATGTGCATCCCCAGGTTACAGGTTCACGAACCACCGGTAGCCGCTCATCTCCGACCGACGATAACCTTTGAATTTTCAAAAAAAATAAAATTTAAATTTAAATCAAGGTTCCAGTTCGGTTATAATCAAGGTTTCTTTTATCGGTTTTCTTTGTTTTTATATATTTTTTCCTTTTAGGTTTATTTTCCTTTTCCAATTTTTTTGTAAATTTAAAATTTGTTTAAAAAAATTAAAAAATGCTCGTGTTACAAAAAACTTTGCATTTTCTAAAATTGTTTGAAATTTCAGAAAATATAGTTTTTATTGAAAATTGGTTCCCAAATTCAAAAAAAATTCCCGGGTTCAAAATTTGTTCGGAATTTCGTAAAATGTTCCGTTTTCATAATTCATTCACAAATTTCAAAAAATATCACATTTTCGTAATTTGTTTGGAATTTTAAAAAATCACAAATTCAAGAAAGTTTCTTGTTTGCAAATTATTTTCGCAAACCAAAATATATATCAGAATTTTTTAACCTCGTGCATCAGTAATTGACACAATTAACGCAATTATTAATTCGCGTGTTGCTACAGCCCAGGCACCTGGCAATGGGCCGGCTCAGTCGGAGCATTGCCTGTGCATGGGTTATTTCCCAGAGGATTAGCCCGTTTGCCTCCATGGATGATGATTGAGAATAGAAAACCGTTCAAGCCTCCTCCAATCTCTCGTCGCGGTCGCCGTCACGGCTCCATCCTCTCCTCCGACAGCCCGGTTCCATCAAGGTGCTTTCTCCATCTCAATTTCCTTCCCCAGATGCGTGTCCTCCAAAAGGATTTCTATACATACATGATACATGCTCCTCTTGTCTTGTGCTATTTGTTCTTGTTAATTAACATCCTGCTGCTAGAAATCAGCAGTCGATTTGTTCAGGGCACAAGTAATTCATAGCATGCACAACCTCTTATGTTTTTTTTTTTTTGCGAGAAACCTCTTATGTTAGTCAAATAGAACCTGTTGAAGTGCTCACTTATCAACTTCACTTGATGCATCATGCTTTATTTTTCCACAAGCTTCGTTCGTCCTCAGAAAATTGCTCTTATCTAGTTTTTGTCCCTGTTACCCTCCCAGGAATTCGACAAGGAGAGTCGGACATGAGCGGCTGCATCCGGCGGTTCCTGAACCTGCGGCTGTTTGGACCTCTCCAAGATGAGATGGACTTTTTTCACTGGACGGCAGAAGAGGCGGACGCGCATGGCAAGGTGGTGCCAACACTCACGCCCGTCAATGCCTGTGTACCCAAGAGGAGAAGGGTCTGCAGCACTGACTTGGCGACCCAAGATCGATCCTCCGAAAAGCGAGCTGCTCGTGAGGCCACCGGAAGTCTCCTACTCCATACGGTCTCCTCGTTGTCTTCACTTCTTGCCCACTGCCTTGGAGAGCAAGGTCATCTTGGCCGACCACGCGAACCGCATGTTACGCTTCTACACCATCGACGGCTGCAGCTACATCGATACAATGCCAAGCCTCCACAGGTACAAGCACTCGCCGTTGGCCATCTCCGTCCCTCCGACGGACTTACACCTCCTTGACGGTGAAGACACCGGCGACCTCTACATCATCGATAGCGTCCTCCATCCGGACAAGGCAGGGGTACGCCCGCAGTTCGAGGCCCTGGTGTGGAGGGGGATCACCACGTCCCTCGCGTCTCACAGGTTCTGGCACTGCGACATCCTCCCGCTGCCCCCGTGGATCACCCACCACAGGAATGCCTTCGTCTACGGTCACGCCCTCGTCGGCGACACCATATGCTTCTCCATCTGTGGCTCAGAGGGCAACGGCACCTACTGCTTCCACATGACGACTCGTGAGTGGAGCAAAGCCGGCGACTGGCTCATGCCGTTCGATGGCAAGGCGAATTACATCCCGGAGCTTGGACTCTGGTTCGGCGTCTCAGAAAACCTCCCCTGTGTGGCTGACCTCTCTGGCGTGGTCAGAGGGGAGGAGCCGCCGCCGAAGAAGATGCGGATCTGGGCGCATGATGACCTGCCAGAGGAGTGGCAGCCGACCCAATTGTTCAACCCCCGGGTCATCAGCCTCGGTTCTGGCAGGTTCATCGTCGTGGACTTCTTGGATACCATGGAATTCGACAAGGACTGCAATGAGATGGTTACGGGCAAGCAATTCACCCTCTTCACCGGTATGGAAGCAGCGTACAGCGACTGTTGGAATTTTGCTAGTAGGCCTTTGGCCCAAAGCCCAACTAAAATTCAGAAATTCTCTTGACCCATTCATGCACACATGTGAGTGGAGTGAGTGAGGCTAAAGTTTAGTCCCACCCCGGAAGTTGAGAGAGAGTTGCACCTTTTTATAAGGTGAGCTCTTCATACCACTTGTATGAGCATGAGAAGAGGAGACTTACACGTGCGCTCCTCCTCCTCGCTCGCCTCATCACGACATGCCGCTGAGCCGAGCCGAGCCGAGGGCAGAGCTATGCATGTTGTCTATATTTTTGCTGCATGGGAAAATTAATGAGTCATTAATTAATAATTAACGGACACGTTAATTACTGAACCGTTTCCGATTCTTTTGGATCGTGGCGACTCGGACGTGGGGTTTACTCCCACCACCTACCCGGCCCGCACTATATAGTCAGGCAGACGTCTACCCTAGCCGCCGCCGCTTCGTATGGTTTCTCACCACCGTTCCAGATCATTGCGCCGTCAAGCAAGTCTTCTCCATCCCTCCTTCGGGCGTGCACCGCGAGAAGGGACAACAGGCCTCCGGAACCCCGCCTCTCGTGATCCTGTACGGGAGAGGGGCGATCAGGTTTTTGGGGAACGCACTCGCGCGACTGCTGGCAGCGACGACTTCGCGAACCTCGGCAATCTCGTCCTCGACGACATGGGCGACAACGTCAACACCGGCGGTGCTGCACCCGCTGCACCGTATGTGATTCTATCCTTCCTGTTCGAGATCGTGATAGAATTCATGCTTCTAGTATGTGCCCTAGATGTGATATGTTCATCTGCTATGCTAGTTTGCATGATTAGTTTAATCTCTGCTGCTGTGGTCATGATTTATCTTCTATTTATTCGGATTAAATCTCGTAGTAATTTGCTCATATTTCCAACAGCGTCAAAGGCAAAAGTGATGATGGCAAAAACAACAGCAGCAACAACAACAATGGCATCAAGGCAAAGGGCTGGTGCGTGGCCTCCGTATGATTAAGCACAAATCGGGTCGTTACATGTTTAACAATCAACAGAGGATCGAGGAGGTGCTCTGAATGATTCAGTAGGCAGGCATTTTGACTTGCTGAACTCTAGTGTTTGACTATATTCATGCATGCCTGCATGCATGCTGGGACTTACTTTAGCATTCAGATTTGGTGCTAGCTACCCAAATAATTGTTTGATGGCAAGTTTGAATTGTTGTGCTATTGTATAGTGCTAGTTTTCACACAATAGACTCTGCTTTCAACTCAGGAATTAAAACAAAACTGGCATATATAATCTCTTTTTCTTTGTACGTAGATTCTTCTGTTAGCATAACAATAGCACAGTTCAAACTTCCAATCAAACAATTATTTATTAAGCAGCAAATCTGAAATAGAAGCTGGACTGCTCCAGAATAACACCTGGGATAATTAACAGTACCATCAGTTCAACTAAGTTCACTCCTATTAAGTTTACTAAGTTGACTTAAAGGCAAAACCGAAGCTGGACGCTGAGCAAGATTTCATACCATCTATTCCTCGGTTCAGGTGAGTCCTTGGTCTGCTCTCCCTCTCTCTGAGATGGTCCGGCTATTCACTATTGAGCCGCATGTTTGGTAATGGTCCACCAAGTTTAATTTTGATAATAGGATCAATTACGTACTTATGCTGGGATTTTGAGTTGTTAATGACAATCATCAAAATAAAAACTGAAGAATTGTTACGCATTTGCTATCTAAATAATGCGCGTATATTGATGATGATGTGATTTTTGTGCTATCGTGAACCATGCATGCATTGTGGTTGCTGTCTGATATTTACTTCTATTGCTGACGTGGTTATAGAAATTCCCACCGAGAACTGGAGTATCCTGCTTCATTCCAACAAAAATATTTGCATATGTGTACCTCATTTAATTAGCAGATGACCCACGACTCTAGTCCAGGGTCTGCTTGGGTATATGAGGCCTGCGGCTATATCTCCACTCGCCAGTACCACTCCCCACCTCACGGACAACACATCTTGTCACAAAATCCATGTCGACCACCCACCTTGTTGTGCTCCTCGGCATCCTCCTGCTGGCCGGCGCATCGAGCTCGCAGCCCACCTCCGGCGACCAAGCCACCCTCCTAGCTATCAAGACCCAGTGGGGAAACCCCACGCAGCTTGCGTCGTGGGACCCTATCTCCAACGCCGACCACTGTGACTGGACCGGCGTGGTCTGCGGTGGCGACGACGGACGTGCGGTGATAGGGATATCATTGCCGAATCTAAACATCACTGGCAAGGTGCCAGAGTCAGTGTGCGACCTACCGAGCCTCGCCCACCTCGACCTCTCCTACAACAATCTTACCGGCTGCTTCCCCGGCGTCCCGCTCTACGCCTGCTCCCACCTCCGCTTCCTCGACCTCTCCAACAACTACTTCCATGGAGTCCTTCCGGATGACATCAGCCGACTGTCGCCGGCGACGGAGCACCTCAACCTGTCGAGCAATCACTTCCGAGGCATGGTGCCGACTGCCATGGCCGGGCTATCAGCGCTGAGGTCACTGGTTCTTGACACTAACCAGTTCACAGGGGCGTACCCAGCTGCTGAGATAAGCAAGCTCGCAGGGCTCGAGCAGCTCACGCTTGCCTCGAACCCGTTCACGCCGGCGCCAGCGCCACTAGAGTTTGCCAAGCTGACCAACTTGACCTACCTCTGGATGTCTGACATGAACATGACCGGCGAGATCCCGAAGGCTTATTCGAGCCTCGTGAACCTCCAACTGATCGCTATGACAGCTAACAAGCTCGCCGGCCAGATCCCGGCGTGGATATGGCAGCACCCAAAACTCGAGTTCTTGTACCTGTTCAACAATGTACTCACCGGTAAACTGCCGCACAAAATCACGTCAGTGAATTTGATAGAGATTGATGTGTCGTCGAACAATCTTACTGGAGAAATACCGGAAGACTCTGGTAACCTCAAGAACCTGAGAATATTGTTCATGTACGCCAACCAGCTCACCGGCACCATTCCACCAAGCATAGCGATGCTCCCCAATCTCACGGACATCAGGCTATTTTTAAACAATCTCTCCGGCGAGATCCCGCGGGAGCTCGGGAAGCACTCGCCGCTAGGCAACCTCGAGGTCTGCAACAACAACCTCTCGGGCCAGCTCCCGGATTCACTTTGCTCCAACAGGAAGCTCTATGACCTCGTCGTCTTCGACAACAGCTTCTCGGGCGAGCTCCCGCAGAACCTCGGCAACTGTGTCCTCCTGAACAACATCATGCTCTACAACAACCGCTTCTCCGGCGAGTTCTCGACGAAGATATGGTCATTACCCAAGTTGACCACTGTGATGATACAGAACAATGGTTTCACGGGGACTCTACCAGCCAAGATAGGTGAGAACATCTCACGGATTGAGATGGGGAACAACAAGTTCTCCGGGTCCTTGCCAACATCGGCAATAGGGCTGGCCGTGTTCAAGGCGGAGAACATCCTGATCTCCGGCGAGCTACCGGCGGATATGTGCGGGTTTCCCAGCCTTGAACAGTTGTCGGTGTCCGGCAACCAACTAACTGGTTCCATACCAATATCAATCATTTTGTTGCAGAGGCTCAATAATCTCAGCCTGAGCGACAACAAGTTGTCCGGTGCAATTCCATTTGGCAGCCTCACGTCGCTTCCATCCCTGACGATCATTGATTTGTCCAGGAATAGATTTACTGGTGGCATACCAGCATCAATCATTTCGTTGCAGAGGCTCAGTAATCTCTACCTGAGCAACAACAAGTTGTCCGGCACAATTCCATTTGACAGCCTCGCGATGCTTCCATCGCTGACGCACCTTGATTTGTCCAACAATGAATTCACCGGTGGCTTATCTTCGGAATAAGTAGCTTTTCCTATATATATATAGAGAGAGAAAAGGGAATAGGTACCATGGGAACGAACGATATGATTTCAGGTTTCTTTCTTCACGTCTCCTCTTGTTGACATTCTGTCAGCCCACCTGGCCTCCAATCTATCAGTTCTTCAGCAAAGTGCTTTCAAAGCTGGTCTGCCTGCTCCCACCTGGCCTCTTATAAGGCACAAATCTTGATTAGCATATGTTTACTTAGCTCTCCAGATTTTTGCAAAGTGCTACCGAGCACATCTCTTCGTATTGTAACTTATAAGTATTGTTATTTCCGTGTAAGATCAGAATTAGCTTGCTGGAGAATAGACTTACCCCCCTTCTTTTTACAACTTTGGATTTTTCTTTTCTTTTTAGGATATACAATACTAGAGTTCAAAGGAAAAATGATAAGAAGCAACTGGGAGACTTGACTTGACTTGAAGCAAACGATGTACTATTACTTAAGTCCCAAACTCAAAATGACTCGCCGAATCAGTGCACCGTGGTGGTAATATTGTCGAAGCCAAAGCATGTAACGACTGGATTTGTGCTTTATCATACGCAGGCCACGCTTCCCTTTGCCTTTGCCATTGCTGCTGCTGGAGCTGCTAATGCCATTATTAGCGTTGCCATCATTGTCATTGCCATTGATGACGTTGTTGCCATTGTTGTCACTGCCATTACCGCTGTCGTTGCCCTTGTCGTACACTACCTCCACACCAGTGAAGACGGCAAATCGGTCACTAACAACCATCTCTCTGAAGTCCTTGTCGAATACTCCTCCATTTTTATTTACTCTGCATATGAGATTTGACTGAAGTCAAACTTCTTAAAGTTTGACCAAGTTTATAGAAAAAAATATGAACATTTACAATAGCAAATCTATATGATGTGAAAGTATATTCAAATGAATCTAATGGTATTAATTTGTTATTGCATATGTTAATATTTTCGTCTATAAACTTTATTAAAATTTATAAAGTTTGACTTTGATCAAATCTAATATGCGGAGTAAATAAAAACGAAGGGAGTACCTTGGTATCCAAGATATCAGAAACCACGAACGTGCCGGAACCAAGGCTGATGACCCCTACCTTGGCACCGGACACATAGCTCGGGTACCACTCGTCCGGTATATCGCCGTTCGCCCAAATCCTTGTCTTGTCCGGCAGCGGCTCCTCCCCTCTCACAAGACCGGAGAGGTCAACGGCGCAGGGGAGGCCACGCGAGATGCCGAACCAGAGCCCGAGCTCCGAGACATACTCCACCTTGCCATTGAACGGCAATAGCCAGTCGCCGGCCTTGCTCCACTCGCGTGTTGCGGTGTGAAAGCAGTAGGTGCCTGCAGAGTCGCGGAAGTCGGTGATGGAGAAGCAGATCGTTACATGAAGGCATCTTTCAGAGTCCGTTTGTGGACAAGTACATAAATGAGCTCGAGGCAATTGATGGGAAATAGGAGCCGGTGAGAACGGAGCCAAGGGTGGCTGTTCGAAACAGGAGACCAAAAGCTCCTCCACCGGGATACGCCAAAATAAACGTCGACGCCGGGTGCCGAAGAGGAAGCCGAGGGACAGCGGCCAGTCTAACATCCCCAGGTTCACGAACCGCCGTAAGCCGCTCATCCCCGACCGACCGGCTACTATGATCCTTCTAAGAAGTAGTGGCAGATTAACCCATCTCCCATCTGCCGGCGGCGGCGAACCTGGGGCAGAACGGCAGCGAAGTGAAAAACCAATCTCGTGTCACCTTTGCCTTTTAGATTTCCCGGTTCGGGATGGACCCAATGCTTTCCTTCTTGATAAATGATAATCCACCAACCAGCTGGGCCTTGTAAAACCGAGGAGGATGAAGTGCTTCTATTCTGAAAAAAACAAACTCATGAAAAAAACGTGGTAACAGATTTATTCAGCGAGTTTCCTTTCATTTTTGGAAAATGCGTTAACATATTATAGAAAAAGTGTCCGTGCATTGCAACGGTTACAAAATAAATTTGACATTTTACCTGCCATGATGGACGAGTGAGGTGTAGATCCCGGTCTTTCTTTTGCGTCAGTTTCATCTTTCCTTTGATGTGGAACTGTTGGACTGTGAATACTGCAATTGCAAATCCTACCACAAATTAAACACGTCAAGTTGGAATTTCCCTTAGCTTCTAACACATGGTCATCATAATGGCACTAATTATGCTACGTTATTCCATGCAACCGTCGCCACCTCCTCCAAAAAGAAAAGCTAGGGTTTGTGCCTCTCGTCGGCTCCGCAGCAGGTCCGCCTCGTCACCGGTGGCCCTACGGCCATGGGGACGCTGCGGATCCTGGCAAGAGCCGGCGGGAGGGCTCCGTTGTTTGCCGTTCCTTTGTGATTTGTTAGGATTTGTGTTCTGTTCAGGAAGACGAGACGACGGCGGTTCCCTGAAGATGGAATAAAGGTCTCCCTGCCTAGCACCCGTTCTGGTGGTGCGTCTATCATCGTTGGTGGGCGTGTGGAGGTATGTCTCTGACGGATCCATCCTTGGTGGATTTGCTTGGATCTGTTTGTTGTTCGTCTATGTTCGTGTGTCTTTGGATTGGATCTTTTCGATCTACGTTATTGTTCATCAGCGGCGGTTCTTTTCTGGTGCGCTGATCCTATGGGCCTTAGCATAATAAGTTCCGGACTGTCTATTACAACAAGTTATGCCCGACTCCGTCAAGGGAGGGGCAATGACGGCGGTGCGCCTTCGGCTCTCTTCAGTGCTCGTAATCGTCGCTAGGTGGTCTACGAATCTGGATGTAATTTTTATTATCTTTGATGTTCGTTGTACTCCCATGATTGAAGATGAATAGGTTGGAAGTTTTCTCGCAAAAAAACAACTGCACCAATTATAAAGTAAAATTCTATAGATGATGACCACGTGAAAAGGAAAATAACTCTCTCTCACATACACAAACACACACACCGTGTCGTGATTTTGTCACAACAGATGTCCTCAAAAAATGACTTAGTCGATAGGCCTTTGCAGCTAGGTAGTAACTTCAACGGGGTTGGTCGGAACCGAGAGACGTGAATTTTACCCAGGGTCGGCCCCTCACTGTAGAGATAAAATTCTACATCCTGCTTGATTGTTATTGATGATGATGATGATGATGATCCATATTACAAGGATGCTATTTCGCTACCTCTAATCTCGAGAGCATCTACTTTGATCTTGTCTAAGACTTGTCTGTCCATCCTCTCTTCTTTGGGGTGCTTTACCCCTTCTTATATAAGTTGAAGGGGTCGACTTACATGTAGAGTCCTAGAAGGACTACAACGTACTTCCTCCATTCCACAATGTAGTGCTTCCTCTATCCCCGTGCTTCAACTTTGACCGTAAATTTAACTACCAAGACCGATTGCGGCGGGAGCAAAAATTATATCAGTGAATTCGTATTCGAAAGAAGTTTTCAATTATATAATTTTTCTCCCACCGCAGTTGGTCTCGTTGGCTAAATTTATGGTCAAAGTTGGACCTCGGGAAGCGCGGGCGCACTATATTTTGAAATGGAGAGAGTAGTATCTTTTCTATTACAAGCCGGATACTAGTCCGGGTACTATTTGAACAGTCCAAAACCGGCCTGTTGGGCCACCCCCATGTTCGGCCACATTTTAGCTCCGCTGAGTCACGCTTCCCTTACCCGGTCTTACTTCCCTTGTCAGGGAGCTTCCCTCTTCTTGGACCTCCTCTGCGAGCCGGCCCATTGGGCTCCAGTTAAGCCGGCCTCCTGTCGGGTCTCGTCATTGTGCCCTGGATTCCTTTTTGTCATCTTGTCTTTACTCGGCAAACGGGGCGACACATAAATCCTTCAAGTTCTAGGCCGGGTCAAACCATTAGCCGGGTTATAACTGTGGGGAAATATCCCAAACATTAGCCCCCAGATTAGCTTGAATTTATTTCATTCTAAGATCCTAAAATAAGAATAATTATTATGTTAAAGGACCGGCTCGCTCAACTGGCCGCATTTATTCAATGAACCGGGTTCCTTTGTCATATCAATGTGCCGGCTTCAGAATCAACTAGCTAGTGTGTGTCCTTCCTTTTTCTCTAATATTTTTGCAGAAAAATATTAGGAATAAAAACCCATCCGCCATTGAGCCGGTTTCTCTGAGACACGGAGTACTTGCCGGGTTGTTTGACGTAGTAAACGTAAATTTCAAAATGTGTTCATAAATCATGTTTTTCTAAAATGTTCGGAATTCAAAACATTACTCCCTTCGTCCAAAAATAAAGTGACATGGCTTTAGTTTAAATTTGTTCATGGTTTTGGGAATACTTGTCATTGTTTCCAAATTCAAAAAAATGTTTTCAGAATTAAAAAAATCCTTTTCCCTCAATTTGTTCAAAAAAAATATTTAAAAAATTGTATTCTCAAGAATTGTTTTGAATTTGAACAAATGTTCATTTAAAAAAAATCACAAAATCAAATAGTTTATCTTTTTTAATTTTTTCCACAAACACAAAATTAGTTCCTAATTATTTCAACTTGGTGCTTCAGTAAACATTGTGCTGCAGTTATCGATGCAATGCAACAGTAAGCTCGAGGTGCTACAGCCCTTCCTTTTTTTTTTGAGGGAATGCTACAGCCCTTCCAATATAATATAAAAGATAGAGGGGTGTCAGTCCACGATGGGCCCACGGGATTAGCCCGTTGGGCTCCATGGACCTCCTCAAATGCCTCACCGCTGGCTGCACCTCCTGAAATCCGTAGTCTCTCCTCCAATCTCTCGTCGACCGCCGCCTCTGCCTCGAACGTCGCAGTCGCCATCGCCGTCGCCATCCTCTTCGGACCGCCGTCCGTTTCCCGTTTCGTCAAGGTTAGGTTAGGTGCCCATCGATCAATGTGCTTTCTCCTTCTCAATTTCCTTCCTTCCCCATCAAGGTTAATTTGGGTGCGTACGTAAGTGATTCAGGTGTTGCTCATTATATTGGATTTGTATACGTGTGTGTTCCTCCACTATTCTGTACTACGTACAATACA